TGATTGTATGGGAGGTCAGAGCTTACAACCTAAATTCCTATTTGAAGCTAGGATCCTAACAGAGCTACTCTGTAAGGTGTGAGAATTCACACATAAGTGACCTGGACGTCAGGTTTAAATTTAAACTAACTCTCTAATTTGCCATATGTCTAGATTCCCTCTTAAATAGGGAATCCTTTGATATGAATGGTCATTAGATTTCATGAAAAAAATACCCTTGTATTCCAGTTTCATATCCAAAAGAAACATTAATACTTACCCACAGATTAATAATTAAGCCTAATTTTTATTATATTTAGAATAGGACAAGCACAATCTTCTAATCAAGCCTAAACATGATTGGCGTAACTTAACCATATGGGAAGGGATTGTGATGTCGACTATATTGGGTCACAATTAAGAAGTGTGACATATAGAAAAATGGTAACAAATTCATAGATGCAATTATTATTTCTTTGGCAAGTACATAAGAGGAGAAAGAACCAAATATTTCTTTTTGGATTGATGCTGATCTGGAACACAAGGGGGTGGTCACCAGGGGCGGGCTGGGCCGGGGGGCAGGGAGGCAATTGCCCCCCAGGCCGCCCTAAATTCCTGTAAGGCCGGCCGCGGCGGGCCGGCCCTTTAAATACTGCAGCCGCCCGAGCGCTCTGTTAAGAGCCTCAGGCGGCTGCAGCTTCTCCCCTGTAGCGTGGCCGAGCTGCACTCCGGTCCGCGGTGGCCGGCCGGCCGGCCGGAGTGATAGGAAGGTGCACACTGAGTGTGCACCTTCCTGTCAGTCCGACCGGGTACAGGAAACAGAAACTCCTGTTCCGCGCGGGGTTTCTGTTTCCTGTAACCGGCCGGACTGAGAGGAAGTGCACACTCAGTGTGCACCTTCCTATCACCGTCGGCCACAGCCGGACCGAGTGCAGCCCGGCCAATGCCACAGGGGAGGGGTAAGAAGAGAGGAGGGGGCAAGAAGAGGGAGGGAGGAATAAGAAGAGGGGGGACAAGAAGGGGGATAAGAAGAGGGGAGGGGGGATAAGAAGAGGGGAGGGGGGAATAAGAAGAGGGGAGGGAGGGGAATAAGAAGAGGGGAGGAGGGGAATAAAAAGAGGGGATAAGGGGAATAAGAAGAGGGGAGGAGGGGAATAAAAAGAGGGGATAGGGGGAATAAGAAGAGGGGAGGGAGGGGAATAAGAAGAGGGGAGATAAGAAAAAGAGGGGGTAAGAAGAAGAAGGGGTGAGTAAGAAAAAGATGGGGGAGTAAGAAGAAGAAGAGGAGGGAGTAAGAAGAAGAGGAGGGAGTAAGAAAAAGAGGGGGGAGTAAGAAGAAGAAGAGGGGGGAGTAAGAAGAGGGAGAGGGGGAATAAGAAAAGGGGGAGGGCGGAGTAAGAAGGAGGGGAGGGCGGAGTAAGAAGGAGGGGAGATAAGAAAGAGGGGGGTAAGAAGAAGAAGAAGGGGTGAGTAAGAAAAAGAGTGGGGAGTAAGAAGAAGAAGAGTGGGGAGTAAGAAGAAGAAGAGGGGGTAAGAAGAAGAGTGAGTATGAAGAAATGGGGGGAGTAAGAAGAAGAAGGGGGAGGAAGAGGAAGAAGAAGAAGGGGGGGTAAGAAGAAGAAGGGGGAGCAATAAGAAGAAGGGGGTTAAGAAGAACAGGTGGGGGAGTAAGACGACCAAGGGGGGAAGTATGAAGAACACAGGGAGGAGGGGGGTAAGACTAACACAGGGGGTGTGAGGAGAACACATAGAGGGAGGAGTGAGAAGAGCACAGGGAGGGTGGGTGAGTGTGAGAAGAGACCGCTAGGGGAGGGTGGGGGAGAGGAGAGACCACTAAGGTGCAGGGGAGAGCTCTACGGGACAGAAGGGGCAGCTCTATAGGACAGGGGCCAAGACAGGGAGCTCTTTCACACTACGCGCGCGCACACACACACAATGCATCCCTATACATACACAGAAACACAACATGCTTCCCTTACACACAGAGAAACACACAATGCATCCATTACACACACACACACAATGCAACCCTTACACACAAAGACAATGCATCCTTTGCACACATACACAGAAACAGACAATGCAAACCCGTACACACGCATGCAAACACACACACTTCTTTTCTTACATACACACAGAAACACAATGCATCTCATGCACACACATACAGACACACACCTTGCATCCCTTATGCATACAAACACAGATTCACACAATGCATCCCTTACACACAACCAGAAACACATAATACATCCCTTATACACAAATACACACTGCTTCCACTGCACACAAACACACTACATCACCTGCACAAATTGGTAACCCTATACACTACATACCATAAGCACACATATTAGATCCTCTACAATAACACATAACACATCCCCTACACACTCTACTCCCTGTGAGCGAACTCATGGGTGGGTGGAACTTATGAGTGGGCCTTATGGGCATACTCACCGTCAGGCCCTGGGGCCCAGACCTTGAGCTGTGTAAGGGGCCCCAAAAAATGGAGCTGCTTCCAATTCTCCCAGAACATTGAATTTTGTGACCACAGCTTGCAAACAGCCTCCAGAGATCCTGTTCTACACCAGACCAGTGGAGCCAAACTGCAGCCCATCATCATCCTCATCTGCTTGTAAGTAGGCAATCTAGTATATTATTAGTGACACTAATCTATAATGTACCTCACATTAAAGGGACACTATAGCTTAATGAAGTGGTTCTGGTGTCTATAGCTGGTCCCTGCAGGCTTTTTAATGTAAACACACACTGTGTGCAGCACTGGCGTTAGTTCATATGGGTGGGGCATTGTGATGTCACATGGGGGGGCAGCAAATTTTTATTTTGTCTAGGGCGGCAAAAATCCTTGCACCGGCTCTGATCCTGGGCAGGTGCACCAGTCTACTGGTGACCCACAGGAGGGGAGTGCACTGATTGCACTGCACTCTCCTCCTGTCCAGCCCCATCTTTACCGCAGTGCAAGTGCCCTCTGCCCCTAATTTACAGTGGCTCACACTCACAACAAGCAGTGCCTGGAGCCGTGAAGGAGCGGGTATGGCAAAGAGCTACTGATTAGCATAACATCAATATGCGTTATAAAACCAGGAAAAGGTGGGCATGGATGGTGAACTGATTTGGTGGTGCAATGGGCCACTTGACTGGTTTTGCCCCCCAGGCCTAAGGCTGCCAGCCCTCCCCTGGTGGTCACTTATAGTTACTATAGGTGTGCCCTTTCTCCATCTCTGGGCCAGGCTTGGTAAACCACAGGGTATATATCTAATGATGCTGAAATGTGTATTGCACTTGCTTGGGACCAAAATCTAATTTTGAGTGAGTCACCATCTTCCTTGCCAGAGACCCCTTGGCAGAAGTTTTACTTTGAAAACCCGAGTAAGTGATTAGGACTTCTGTTATTTTATCCCTTTTGTTTTTATCTGTTGTTGGTGTAAATAAATTATCATCTATTTTTTGTATGCACTGTGACTATTTTTTGCTCATAATAAATATTCCTTTATTAAGTTCTGCCTTTGTCTAGTAAAGAATCGCGTTACCTGAAGAGACTACTTAGTGTTTTGCAATTGCTTAAATATTGTGCTAAGTTGTATTTGGTGGGTTTTTATTATTAAGTTACCTGGGGGACCAAGGCACCCCATTTACAAATTGTCTTGATAGTGGCAGCGTTAAAATAGTAAAATTATTATAGTTAAGTGTGGGTGGTGTTAAGAGGGGTTTTTATCATTATTTCCAGTCTAGTGCAGACAAATAGTTAACTTTAACCCTTTCACCACCACAACTACGTCACACACCCTCTTGAACTAGGATGCATTTGTGACACTAATCACTCTAAAACCTGTTAAAAAGGTTTTTTAACTTACATGGAATCCAGCACCGGGCGACGCACCCGGCGATAACTACCGCACCCCCTGCTGATGTCACTGGGTCTGCGCATGGTTCAGTCACAGGCAATTGTAGGCTGTAAGTACACTTCAGATCAGCAAGGAGAGGTTGGTGGGAGCAGGTGTGAAGATAGTGCCCATAGTGAAAGAGGGTGGGAGGGGAGAGCGACCGTGGGTCCAGTGGGGAGCTTGTGTAATCTTCGTGGTTTTCCCGCACAGCTTCTGCTGTTAAGTGAAGCCGGAGCCGGAATAACGTCATAACCCAACTCCTGGGATCATTGTTGGGCATGTGAGCGAGCAGTGATGGAAGATCACGAAGATTACAGCCTCCTCGACGCATCCATTCATCCCCAGACACTGTATTTGAGCAGAGTAGGCACCTGCCGTCCAGGTATGCTGGGCCCTCCAATGCCTTAGCACGCACGCAGTACGCCCTGACATATACGTACCACTGGTTGAGAAACAAGGCCCTGTAGAACTTTAGCAAGATAAGATAAGTACTGTAATGTCTCTGTAGGCTTATATTCTATACACGCCAATTTCATTGGTCTCCGATGCAGTGATTGCAACGCATTCACTGTGTGCTCTCAGTGTTTCTCTGAGAAGCATCAGATTGGACTTGCGCCATTACTGAGGATGACTTCACAGGAGACACACTTTTTTTTCCTTTAATGACAAAATGTGGGGATACATAATCCAGGCACGTCCAGTAATTCAGAAGCATGTCTAATTTTGTATTTCTATATATAATTATTATTATTCAATATAGAAGCTGAAACTGAAGACCATTGATTCTTTAAAAATTATATATTACGTGGCGTCTAGCATGAATAAAAACTATTTACATGGTTTATTCACAAAACCCCTAATTTTTAATAAATTGAAAACCAAAAATGGCAATATATGGATTAAAATAACCGAACTAGAAATATCCCTAAATTTGTTTATTTTAGTTTAAATTGCTCCATTTGTATTTCAGGCTGTTACTTTTGGTGAGTACACCACACACAAGGGGCAGCCAGCAGTGGCAGTGACTGAGCTCCTGGCTGGACACAGCTAGCCTGCAGCCAGTGAACTACCAGCACCGCCTCCCTGATACGCATGCGCAGCATGGGCTCTGCCCTCTGACCGTCTGATGTCACTGGCAACATGGCTGCGCTCAGTGTGGAAGCGGCATGTCGAGCTGCGGCATTGAGCAGGGCACTGCGGGGAGCATGGCGTGTCCCTCGGCTGTCAGTGAGGAAGGTGAGGCCATGTCTGCTTTATGGCTAACGTTACTATAGCAGTGCTGTGGGTCTAGGTGGGAACCATGTCATATTGGTGACCTCTAAGGGCAGGTTTCATCAGAGCTCGTCTAGCAATGTCTGCATACCATAGACATAGAGAGGGGCTCTTTACCCGGAGACCAGTTTGAAAACGTCTGCCTTGAAAGTAATAGCAGGGTGGAAAGTGAATACAAACTGTGTTATGTCTCGTGTGTTTGGATCTCTGTCTGTTACTGATGTCCCATGCTGGGAATTAGATTCCAGGCTGGGATCCCCTGTGAATGGAGTTTAATGTGTATACTTATTGTTATTGGTTGCAACATTGTGGCATTTTATTAGTTTTAATTGTAACTGCTGTCAGGACGATTTGGGAGTGGTAAATGTGTCTATCAGTGCTTATAGTATTCTGTTTCACTTGTGCTTAATTATTTGTTTATGCACAATAATTATAATGTGGTCTTCTTGGGGTAAACAGAGCCCATGGTCAACTATAATGGTGTTCAGCTTTGTTTACTGCTGCCATGGTTTGTAATGAATGTCACTGTCTTCTGGGGATTAGGGAAGACCAGGGGTAGGGATGAATGTTGAAGTGACTATTTATTTCTTCAATCAGATCAAGGGTTAGCAGTTGGGGCCAGTACATTGTAACCTGAGATCTTGAATCTATAGTTGTGGATCTTTGGTTTAGGGGTGAGTGTTGATGCAATTAGTTATTTGGTAAGTTACTGCTTAGCTGTCATAATTTGTCTTTAAACCTTTTGTAGAAATGATTTTGTATTATACCATTATAATAATAAAATAATTGTAAGGTGAACTGTCTCCGGTTTAATAGGTTAATCTCAGGCTTGACAAATTTGCTTTCAATCTACGAGCCAGGTTTTTTTTGTTTTGATTTTTTAAACTAACAAAGCTTTTCAATGACAAAAATACAATTCTTAAAGTGACAGTATAGTCACCAGAACTACTACAACATGCACAGTAGCCTCCTAATGCTTTCCTGCTGGAAACCCTGGATTGACTGAGATAATCAAGATTGATTGATTTATATCAGCCATGGATGCAAGGCTAGACCGGCACAGCATGGGGAAAAAGGTGAGTACAGAAACACTATAGCGGTAGGAATACAGATTTGTATTCCTAATGCTATAGGGTTCCTTTAAAGGACCACTCTAGGCACCCAGACCACTTCAGCTTAATGAAGTGGTCTGGGTGCCAGGTCCAGCTATGGTTAACCCATTTTTTCATAAACATAGCAGTTTCAGAGAAACTGCTATGTTTATGAATGGGTTAAGCCTTCCCCCTAATCCTCTAGTGGCTGTCTCATTGACAGCTACTAGAGGCGCTTGCGTGCTTCTCACTGTGATTTTCACAGTGAGAGCACGCCAGCGTCCATAGGAAAGCATTATGAATGCTTTCCTATGTGACCGGCTGAATGCGCGCGTATTCAGCCCAGGAGGAGGAACGGAGGAGGAGAGCTCCCTGCCCAGCGCTGGAAAAAGGTATGTTTTAACCCCTTTCCCCCTTCCAGAGCCGGGCGGGAGTGGGACCCTGAGGGTGGGGGCACCCTCAGGGCACTATAGTGCCAGGAAAACAAGTATGTTTTCCTGGCACTATAGTGGTCCTTTAACTAAAGTGTTTAAACAAAATATCTAAAAATATAAAAACTTAAACTGCTGTGGTTTGCCCTTTTACATGGGTCGCCACCAGACACCAAGCTATCTCTGGGTGATTTGCATTTGGATTCTACAGAGCTGCAGATGCCAATCCACTGATCATTCACTGGCTGAGGGGTGTGATGCTAAAGTGCTATCCCAAAAAGTAGAAACTCCTACACAAGCAGCGTAGCTTAATGTCCCTGTAGAAAGATAGTGGGAGCTCATTTCCCCAGTTGCCAAAAGATTCACATGCAGGCATGCCCAAGGGAGCCCACCAAGCGGCCACCAGGTGGGTAGATGAACAGGTATATAACACCTTCCAGAACAGTCACTCCTGGTGCCAGTATCATGTATTTGAAGGTAGTGTAGACGGGCGAATCCTGGAGAAGGCTGACTTCTTGAATCCAGTGTGCTCTAGCAAGATGGGTTCCTTCAGCATGGAGTTAGGCTCTGTTACCATCCCTGTCAAGGGAGGATGCTGGAGAAATCCCTGTAGGGGGTTGTTTGCTGTTCTGTTTCCAACTTGGCATAGAAGTTAATGCAGAGCAAGTCAAAGGTGACTAGAAAGTCCATTCGTGGTTCTGATGACCTTCCTCACTCTGTGGTCTCTGCCATTTTATGCTCCACAGTCATATCACAAAAGTAAGATGAGAAGGGTGTACTCTTCAGACCTACCAGGTCCTGCTAATCAAGGTATGCCAAAAGGGGCGTGGGGGGAATGGGAGCTCGCAAAGCTGAACTCTAGGTGGCTGGTGTGCTACTTGACATCCAGATTAGGCCTCAATCACAGGAGCTGCAGTCTCCTTTTGGAGGGGATGGAACTGTTAAAAAAAAATAGCACCAACCACTGTACAAAAGCCAGGACCTCAGCCAGAAGGCAAATATTGTGAGTAACAGTGCCAGTAAATTGCCGTGTGGACAAAATATCAGAGGAGCTACTGAGTCAGTCAGGTCCCGCCCCCTAAATCATCAATTTTTATCCACCCTGGTAGGAAGTACTATTTTACCTTGACATGTTGTGTATGTTACTTGTTTAGCAGAAAAAAAACATGACGTTGTGTTATCCTGATAGGCAATGATAATACATATTTGTTTTCTTTCCGTGTTGTCTTGCAGTATCACAGATGTCCAGTTTCACCCTGCCAGCACAGGTTCCTGTCCCCTGGAACATATAAATTACTTATACTGACCAACGCTCGCTACCAAAGTACAGTAACTACAGCTGACAGCCAGGTGATCATATATAGCTTACTTTGATAATAGAACAACATAATTTCACTAAATCTTTTTGCTCTACTGATGTTTCTTACCCTGGATTCTATGTTACATAGTTACCTAGCTGAAAAGAGACTTGCGTCCATCAAGTTCAGCCTTCCTCACATTTGTTTTTTGATGTTGATCCAAAAGAAGGCAAAAAAAAAAAAAACACTTTGAACCTCTTCAAATTTTGCAACTAACTAGGAAAAAAATCCTTCTTGACCCCAGATTGGCAGTCAGATTTATCCTTGGATCAAGAAGTTGGTACCCTAGATTGAAAAAATATATTCTGTTTTTGCAAGTATGCATTTGAACGTCTGTATGGACCCTGATAAAACCACTTGTTCAGGCAGAGAATTCCACATCCTTATTGTTCTTACAGTAAAAAAACATTTTCTTTGCCTTAGACAAAATCTTTTTTCTTCCAGTCTAAACGCATGACCTCTTATCCTATGTAAAGTCCGGTTTATGAATAGATTTCCACACAATGGTTTGTATTGGCCCCGAAAATATTTGTATAATGTTATCATATCCCCTCTCATGCGACATTTTTCTAAACCTAAGTGGTTTTAATTGTTAACCTTTCTTCATAGCTGATATGTTCCATTCCTTTTATTAATTTTGTAGCCCGCTTTTGTACTTTTTCTAGTGCCATAATATCTTCCTTTAGAACGGGTGTCCAAAATTGCACAGCATATTCAATATGTGGTCTTACCAGTGATTTATAAAGAGGCAAAATGATATTCTCATCCCGAGAATGAATGCCCTTTTTCATGCATGACAAACCTTACTGGCCTTAGCCACTGCTGATCGACATTAATACGGGACTGTCACAGTTCCTCATTCCCTTGAATAACTTAGTGGTAAATAATACAGTAGGGTAATTATAAAGTGCACTTCGACAGCATTTGGATGTTCAGGGCAACATCATCGCACAGTGTAAGAAATGATGACCCTCTTACAAGGTTATTCTTTAAGGAATTTGTGACAAATAAGACACAAATACAAGTGTATACTTTTTTTTAATTAATATTGACTTGGGTTATTATTAGAGATTATAAAATGCACAATACACTTGCAACATGCACAATGTATACTTACTTCTGTCTTTTCTTTTTAGATCCTGGTTGCCCATGATGTACAATCTTCTATCCCTACTATTGCAGAAACAGTCCTGCCTTTACCCCTTCCCGATGTCCCACCTACATTCTCAGAGGCATTGGGCCAGGTGGAGCAGAGTCTGTCAGAATTGGGCCTTGGTGCCAGCACTCCTGTTGGGATGGTACAAAATTTCCTGGAGTTCTTACATGTTGGTGTTGGCTTACCCTGGTGGGGGGCAATTGTCACAGGTGAGAACCAACTATTCAAATATAGACTTTGATGATTTGCTTACTTATATAGCGCCATCTTCCAAAATGTAAGGTTAAAACATGTATAATTCATGATTTATTAATTCCTGTAATCTTTCTGTCTTTAAATTAATTTTCACATTTTCTATTTTACTCTCTTCAGGCACAGTGATTGCCCGTGTTCTTGTCTTTCCTCTGATGGCCAAGGGTTTGAGAGAAGCTGCAAAACTTAATAACCACATGCCACAGATCAACGCTTTCACAACTCGAATGAATGAAGCCAAACAATCAGGAAACAAGTTTGAATGTAAGGACACTGATAATCTGATGGTCTATTACTTTTATAGGAACAAAATGGATCACTAGTTCCAGTAATTTGTTGAAAATCTATTAAAATTCCCCAAATTACAACTTGGATGTTTGCTAAAATAAATATAGAGGTTAATTTGGGGAATAATCCTGAATGTGCTGATCTTTTTGGAGCAAATTGCCTGCAAAGTGACACATTTAGTTGCACAAAAATATTAACCATTAAGGACCCAGTGACTTGTCCCTATGTTTATAAAAGAGTAGTAAGCATCCCTACTCTGTACCATGTGGGAGTTAATTAAGTAAAGAGCTGTATATATGTTTTTAGTGCCCTCCTATATATTCTATTGGATTTATTTTATATATATATATATATCTCCAAAGGGGTTTGCACTCCAGGTAATGTCAATGTTTTTTTTAGGCCTGGTGCTGGTCCAGCAAAAATACAGAATGGTGACCGCACTCACAGGACTTGAAAATAGTAATACTTAACTTCTTTTGCTTCATCATAAAAAGAATAATCGACGTTTCAGTCCCACCAAGGGGCTTTTCATCGGGACAATTGAAAAAAAATATATATATATAACTTGTTGAAACTGAAACATCGAAAATTATTTTTATGATGAATCATTAAGTGCGGTCACCATTCTGTATTTTTTTATATATATTTTTTTTTATTTTTTTTATCGTGTGCCATTCACCTACATTTTTATTCCCTGTTCTTGCTAAAAAAATATAAACAAAAAAGAAAAATATCAATAAAAATAGAAAAAATGCATTACTAAAATCCCATTTCATTGCTTTTTGAGTGTGGATTCTGTTTGTATATTTTTTGTTCTACTTTTTTGTGCAAATCCTAGTAGACTGGACTTGCTTGAATATAGCACCTATTTGCATCAAAAACATATGATGGTGCCATTTAGTATATATTGTTTTGTATATCTATTTTGTTTACATCTTACTGTTTTTCCACTGGTGAGCATTTACTAATCAGAGGAATAGCCAGGAATCCGTTGGATGCATTTCAATTTTAGGGCCTTTTAAACTGACTCTGAATTTGAACTTTCTAAATCAGGAGACCGCTTGAGGATATAACCTAGGAAACTACCTTCAAATAATTGCCATAGCAAGCTTTTTCATACTGACAACCACTAAAGGTGGACATTACCCTTTAATGTAAGCATTGCAGTTTCTAAAAACAGTCTAGTGTTTTACATAACCGGGTTAAAACACTAGACAGGGACACTGCACAAAACTATTTAATTGAGATGAAGTGGTCTTGGTGACTATAGTGTTCCTTCAACAAATTCCTAGTTAAGGAAATAACTCTGTTACATAGCTTTTGTGTTGACTCAAGTCATGTCATTTTCAACATGTCCATAAACTGATGACAGAATAGTAAGCGGAAATGAATATTTATGTATTGCATATATGGGTAGTACTCATTGTTTTCTCATGTTTTGTTTCTCTCAGTCTCCAAAGCTTATTCCGATCTAACATTATATCAGAAAAAGCATGATGTCAATCCTCTCCGGGGCTTTCTGGTGCCTTTAGTACAAGTACGTGTTTTTCAGAAACCTGTTCTTCATTTTTAAACTCCAATTTCTGCTGTACTACTAAATATAAGCATAGCATGTCACTACACCCATTGTACAACTCAACAGTTTTTTAAGCAGTTTATACACCTAATTAAAAATGTAACATTTGTTGTTTCTTTCTCAAGCAGTTAAACAGCTAAGTCTTTGTCTTTTTCAGGCACCAGTATTCATCTCATTTTTTATGGCTCTACGGCAGATGTCGTATCTTCCTGTTCCTAGCTTGCAAACCGGTGGATTGTGGTGGTTTACAGATCTGACTGCAGCCGATCCTTTCTACATCTTGCCTGTGTTTGTCACATGCACCATGTGGGCAGTTTTAGAGGTGACTCCTAAGTATACCTTTTATCCAGCCTCTCTGAGCCAGCTTAATTTATTTTTATCTTTTATTATCCATGTGCTCTGTTTGCTTTTTACGTATAATAATTTACTTCTCTTTTTCGTTCTCATTTCACTAAAACTTGTTTTAATTTTCGTAGCTGGGAGCAGAATCTGGTGTAAATAACCCAAACCTCAGAATTATGAAGACTGTTTTCCGTGTTATGCCTCTGGTTATTTTACCACTTACCATGAACTTCCCCACTGTAAGTATCTGTGGTGTGGCCAAGTTAGTTCACTAGTATGGAGTAGACAAATTCGCAAGAAATGCATAACAATATACTACCATCACTGACCCAAAAAAATATAGAAGGTTGTCTTTTGCTACCAGAGAACTTAATTTGTTCAAACAAAGCTCTACAAGTTCTAAACTTGGTGTAGTGAGATATTGCACCATGGTTCAAAAATGTTGAAGTTTGATAAATGTAAGAAAAATATACAGTTTCCAAGTACTGTAGAACTATTTTAGATTCCTTAACTGAAACCAAGGAGAGTAATCATTGACCTAATGACTCTCACAAGATGGCTGCTCACACCCTTACTCTTCCCCACTGTGTTTAACATCTTGGTTTTATGCAAACCTAAGCATACCAAAATAGAAAATAATGTGCAGTTTCTCATTGGACATGATTCATTTCTATTGCTTAGGAAGCGGATCTGTTATTCATAAATTATGTGGATAACAAATTCACCTTCAGATTGGTATAGAATTAATCTGTACATTGTAATGGCAAAATCCCCAGCAAAAGTGTAATTGAAGACATGTACAGTTATACTCTTGCTAATAAAATGTATAGATTAAATTGTAGTTGTAGCATGTAAATTGTTTTGTGGCATTAATAATGCTGTAGAGAATTAGACTCATCAATGTCAGTGTGTCATTCAATCCTTGTTGGTGATATTTAGTTTTTCACTCTTCCTTCTTACACTGATGTTTGGACTTTTGTGTTGTATGCTGTTATTCACAATTTTGCTTATAATTATTTTTATACAATCAGTGCAAGTAAAGCAAAAGAACTCAAAATAGATTTAAATATCAGTCTCGATTGTTAAGTGCCTCATATGTCTAGAATCTGAATGCATTTTTTTGTAGTGAATGCTACCCCTATACCTACCTACCTACCGTTAACCCTATTCTTCCACAAATGCTAATCCTATACTTACCCTAAACATAACATAAAACATCATTAAGCTTTACCTTATTCTAGCCCTCTGCCAATATCCGTTCTGAGTTTCCAAGTTCAAGTTACAAAAGTAGAGGGTTGTCTGTGACCGCCATCTACTGACTGTTTTCAGTGTTGCAGAGAGATTTCCTTGTAATACTGAAATCAAGCATACTTTCCCAATCAATCACACTGTGATCGTTGTTGAGCAGCTGTCAAAGCCCAGCACTGATCACAATTGGCTTTCTGAAATACAAGAATCACCTCATCTGAGCACACTCGCTCAGCCACTTCATTGTCAAAGAATTTAAAGGGCTGGAGAGCCAGGTATCAATTGTTATTTGGGTCTCCCTGTTGTGAGCTGGGATTTAACCCTGCTCACACCCAAACTTTCCAGCAAGGCAGTTAAATGCCAATTACAATGGCTGTGTGTTCAGCTGCAATGTTTTTAAAGAAGTTACAGAGCTGAATGCAGCGCTCACAGGTCATCCGTTAGGGCCGTTTTTAGTGGCACCTGACTATCTGGCAGAGTGGACTCCAAGGTATCAATTGATACCTATGTCTCCCTGGTGGGAGCAGGGATTTAACCTTTTTAAATTTTAGTGTGGCAGTTGACATGTTTTGAAATGTGCACAAAATTTTGTACGCCCTATCCTCTGCCAGAGTTTATTAAATATGTTTAAAAGGGACACTCTTAGCACCAAAACAACTTTATCTTAAGTGGTTTTGCTGAAGTGCTTAATGGGTGTGAATTGGTCAGTTTAAGCTAATGTTGTTTTGGTGCTTAGAGGCTTTTGAAGCAATTAAAAGCGGTCACATGTTTTGGGAGTTTGCAGTGGACATCATGATAGAGCACAGATGTGTTAAAGTGGCACTTTCATGGCCGAATCCAGTTTCTTTTTTCTTTCTAAACTCCCCTCCTCCCGACTCCACTACATCTAATTGTCCTCAAAGTCACCCCCAAATGTCTCTAAACCCCCCATATTACCTATTTTTTTTTTTTTTCCTTCATCTTTATTTTGTGCCCGGACCTAGGTCCTGGGTGCCGCCATCTTTGTGTGGGTAGATGACGTCCCTGTGGTACACGTCATCTGCCCACATTAGATAGCGCTGTAAAATTCCCCTGTATGCCCAGTTAAACACTTGGGCATTCACTATGGGAATTTTGTCTTCATTCGTCAGAAAGACGAAGGATTGAATACAAATTTCGGACAAACAAACACCGAATATCGGTGTTCGTTTGTTCAGTTTATTACAAGGAGGGAGCTAACGGTGTGCAGCTCCCACCTTGTAAAATGTAAAAATAGAAGGGGCAGGGAGCAGTTCTCCCCGCCACTTCCTTAGCCCTGCATGATTGAAATCTCCCAAATACGCATACTCGCTATAACGCCTATGACTGCTCACTGTTCCAAAAAAAAAAAAACTCTTCCAACAAGTGGCTTCATGGTGGGGCATCTATTAACTAGCGGAGGGGCTATGCAAATAAACAAGGGACATAGGGTCCCCCTTCGCCACCACCCATGAGTTGCGGATGGGGGCCTTAAAAGACGATGGGGGGGACACCTATGAGCGGTGGTTGGGGTCCTAAATTAAAAGAGGGGGGGGGGGGTCCGGACCTTTGCTTGGAATCCAACCAATCATGGTGCTCTGGGTCATTTTACACAGCGTGGGAAAGTTCTTTGGAATTTTCCCACGCTGTGTAAACTGACTGAGCACTGACTTACCTGTCAGTCTCTTCATTTACCTGTCAGAGTACTCTGGTTGGCTTAAACCAACCAACCAGAGCGCTCTAAGTCAAATTGCAGGGTGTGGGAAGGCTTTATAAGTATCCTTTGTCCGTCCGTCCCCCGCCCGTTGTTCATAGGTGGGGGCCGGGGGTACCCTATGTCCCCGTTTATTTAAATAGCCCTCACTCGCAGGGATTCGGGGGACACTATGTCCCCCCCTGCTAGTTATTTTTTTTTACGAGCAACCACTGGCTGCTCACTGTTTAGTAGACATGCCCCTACTCAGCATAGCGAGTAGGGGCAGATTAATCACTAATACTTAGTATTAGTAAAGCTGGCTGAAAGACCAATTTAGGTCCTTCAGCCTTTTGGTAGATGGCAACCTAATTCCAACGATATTAGGGAGCTATCTACTAAGCGACTGCAAGATGCAGCTGCGGCACAGATCGGAATTTCATTTTAATGAAATTTCGGGCGGACCTAAAAGGTACAGAATGCCATCTTAACATAAACAAACTGTTCTCATTCTGTTAGGACGAAATTCGGTACTTTCTCCAGCGTTCTGTCTAAATGACAGGACTTCAGGAATACTGAAAGGAAGCATCGCAAGATCACGGAGGAAAGGCGAGAATTGTGGAACATTTGCTCTGACCACAGGAAATAGAGCACACTTTGCTCTTGCTCTGGTCAGGCATAGGAAAAATACATAAGACAAAAGTAGTCCTTATTTTGTCTTATGTTTAAAAAACAAACAAAAAACTAGATCTAGACTAGATAGGAAGGAAGAAAATGGAGAAAAGATCCTGAGAGAGGGAGAGAAGAGGAAGCGTTTAAAGAAGTTCAGCATGACAGTGCCATTTTAACACCTACTGCAGTCATCTTTTAAGTCTCATATCTCTGTGCTGACGTCTCAATTTGCAAATGTGTAAAATATATAATTATTTGCATGAGGTAACTTTTGTGGTTTGTTTGTTTTTTTTGTATACAAATACATGTAGGATCTAATAGATGGGTTTCTATTTCATTCAAAAAAAAAAAAAAAGTTGCTTGACTTGTGTATATTTTTATTTTAAAGGTGGGCACATTCTGAATGCCAGACTTGTTCCAGGGTTCTCCATCACCCACAAAGTTTATTTCAGATTTTCTGATTATCCTGTTACTTCTCAATGATCTATCTAAAGTTTTCTCTATTCCTCCCAAAGGCCGTGTTCATGTATTGGGTGACATCAAATATTTTCTCTCTGGCCCAAGTTAGCTTCTTGAGAATCCCATATGTGCGAAACAAGCTACGGATACCTGAAAGGATCAAGCATGACCCATCAAGCCTTCCCCAACAGGAAGGATTCTTAAAAAGCTTGAAATCAGGTACAGGAAAATCTTCCACCACCTTTAGAAATTGTGACCAGCATAGAAATATGTTTATGGGGCTTAAAAAGGTCAATGCCACTGCAACCCTTGAGGGTCCATGTCACATACCCCAAGGGTGAATTTCTACTGGCCAGGGATACATTCACTGGCTCATGGAGAGTGGGAATTTTGAGATATGTATAAATAACATTGTCATTTAAAGAAAGTAAACCCTTAAAGGAACACTCAGAAAACCAAGACCACTACAGCATACTGTAGTGGTTCTGCTGCCAGGAGTAGCCTGGCACCATTCCATTGCAAGTGTTCAAAAATTTTTGAACAGTAAGACTTGCCTATGGTCTGCCATAAAAAGGGTCAGTTTAAACACTATAAGCACATTACATCATTGAAAAATGCATGGTTCTTAGAACCCCTGAGATCACTCTTATTGCTTAAAGTGAGTTATAGGTGTAGTGGTTTGTTTAAAAAAAAAAAAAAAAAAATAGCTGCCTCTGTAAGACAGCCCACCATGTTTTAGGTTCCTACTATCAATTATGTTCCTTTTGTGCAAAGCCTCAATCTTCCCTCTGTGAAGATAGCTGGTACTAGAACAGTGTGGTCACTGTTTAGTGAACCAGTCTGTGTATAAGCTAATAGTAGCCACTGTATATCTTTGGGGATAAGCTACTTATGCCACAAGTATGTGCTAGACATGAATATGTGGAGTAAGATCTATCCACACATACCAGAATGGAGTGTCTCATCCTGGTCTAGGAGTGGTATGTTTTGAATAAACTAACTATTCAGTTTCTTGTGATTGATACTTAGTGCTATGTATTTGTGGGAGTACAGAATGTTGTGCATCTAGTTGTTTCACGTTAATATGTGTGCTTTTTTTGGTTAGAACAAAAATTATATTCGGATCCGTTTCTTCTTCAGGTTGGAAGAATGCACAAGTAGCACAGCAGCTTCAAGAGAGGGAGCGCAAGATTAAAAATCATTTGGATATTGCAGCAAAAGGTAACGGGGATGTTGCATGGCAGAGGAACCTAGAATAACAGTCAAAAGCTAGGACATATAGATGAATTGATTTTCCATTTGTAATTAAGTATTGCAGTTATCAGGATCTTTACAGTTTTAGTTTAACATAATTTGATGTAAAATTGATGATATCATAAAACAGGCAGAGCATTCATCTAGTTCCATACTTTCTCCTATAGGACCCCTCAGACCAACTTTCTCACAAAATCCTCTGCAACAACAAGAAACCGCTGTGTCTCCAAAAAAAAACAAATCCAAACCATGGCAGGATACAATTGGATAAATGAAGTCATCAGACCACCCTCTATTCAACCAATATGCAGACCTGCTTCCCAAATACATTCTGCACAATTTTATGGACTTAAAGAGTGTAAATCAGTTTGAGCTTGGACCGGAGGATGGAATAAACAGTGGATTGTGTGACAGACGTGGTTGTTCTCCGTTTACCGCCATTACAAAAACAATTAAGCAAACCCCTTTATATCACGATGGCCTGTTCTCTATCATAGAAGGAATAAAATATAAATTCTGATGTATTTCTCATAGAAAAGCAGTTATTCCATACACTTTATTTCTTTGAAATGGTTTATCAAACAAAACTTTAACTTTTACAGCAAATAACTTACACTTCTATAGTGGAAGCAACAACGATTACTTACTCATTCTTCATGCTTTTCTTCTGAATCTACTGCTGAAGAGTATTCACATATGAACCTTGTGTGCTTCAATCATGTAATATTGCAGCTCAACAGAACTGTGCTAAGATTGAAGAGATCTCAGCAGTGAAAATAGTGGTCCACTTACACTCACATTTATTAATGCATAAATGCAGGTCTTAATACCCCCCATGCTGATTTCACTTGCATTGTTAGTGAAAATTGATTACGTAATGGTTTTCTGAAAATATCCCAAAGGGCTTTGTTTATTCACTGTTTGGATTATTAAACATTGTCTGTGGGGTTTTTAGTCTTCAAAATCCAGGCATTGGATATACGATTTATCTTCTTGTATGTTTTTAAAGAAGAGCTTTTGAATAAATGTGAATGTAATCTGTATTTCACCCTGTTCAGATGCAACAGAACAGGTGAAATCCAGAATTGAACAGTGCTCATTTCTGAGCAGTACACAAATGCTCATAATCCTAAAATAATGTTTGTCGTTCATAGGATTCACATGTAAGAATTACTCGTGTTTAAAGCGGACACTAGATGGTACCTTGTAAGAGTTAATTTATTTCAAATAACCGGATTTTTCTTTAGTAAATATGAGAATTGTGAGTACAGCTGCATTTATTTTAATCTTGAGCGTATTTGGTCCTTGGTGAGTTAAGTGTTTTTTTTTTTCTCGTTTTCATACAGCCACCATATAGGCCAATTATTCCTTTTATTACTGGTATTTATAAAGTGTCCAAATAATCCTCAACTTTATTCAAGTGCGGAAAATAGTACAGTATAGATAAACAAAAAATAAATAGTGGACCATGCCCCAGAGATGAGATCTAGCTTTTACATCCCTTTTATACAAATTACTAAACTAGGTTGCTTGAGAGCTTACAATCTAATTTTTAGAGTTTAATGTGTAAACTTTATACAAGAGGGAGCTGGGGAAAATTTGAAGATAATGGAGAGGCAGCTTTACAACATTTGCTTAGACTTCTGCAATTGATGAGGTAATTGAGAGATTCAGGGAAAAACCATTCTATTAAAGAAGCAGAGGGGTGGGTGGGTCAGTGTCTAGGGAAATGGAGCTTATTGCTTGAAAACAGTTTGCTTAAAATCACGACGCATATCTAGATTGGGGACAGACAACCTTTAAAAAAGTATTTCCTATCCCTACAGAATATATTGTCAATGAACTGGGAAATAGGCCATCCAGTTTGTAATACAGGACTTTTTACACGTGTATAATAAAAGTGTAAAATATGTAATAGTATTGACCCATTTCCTGTCAAAGAGGGACAGCATGAATTATTACTTGCATATATTTTGTAACTTGTATCATTACAGTTTTGCTACTTACAATGGGGGGATACCAGGGCACTCTCGGAATCCAAACTGTAGTGGTTATGGTGCTTGACATGTTCCTTTACTGAAAAATGTTTTGCTTCCTAGTGGCCCATTGTGAAGGAGGGAGTGATGTGCCAACCTTTATAGCATTGTTATTGCTATTACCAAGTTTCAGGTTATTGAGCAAATTGCCTATGTAGAAAGGTGTGTGTTTGTATTCTTGCAAATAAGATACTTTGAACCCAAATTATGAATATTTTATAATACTATGACTGTTTATCACTCTCATTTGGATTTGTACTTTTGAACCCAGTTCTATTGTGAAAACAAGAAGGGATATTCCTCTCATGTAAAGTCATTTCAAACATAGACATTTGATAGTCTAAGTACCAAAATAACTTTAGCTTAATAAAGCGTTTGGTGTATAGATCTGCCATTTAGGAGTTAAAGGAACACTGTAGGCAAAATTGCTTCACATCGTAATGGTCATTGTGTATGATTACATTGATATATCAAGAACGAATGCAGTTTAAATACTTTTTGCTCCAGCACTCCGACTCAGGACCTCCATTAAAAAAGTTCCCTGTGGCTGGAGTAGACAGCACTGACATGATATTGCCCTTTCCCCCAAACACCAGACGACACTTGGTGAGGAATAAAATTCACACCCTTTATGGTCACCATGCACACACATTTATAGGGACAATCACAACAAGGGGTCATCGACTGGGAATAGGTTTCATTTCTGGGGGATGAATCAATTGGCTAGGACTGATTTTATTAACTTTCAGACAACAGTGCCTTACAATAACAACTTTTAAAAAAACATTTCCCCAATAATATAACAAATTGTACATCCCTGGACTGGGCTAACCCTCACAAGCAAGATGTACAAAAAGCTCCCAGATAAGATGTACCCAGCCGAAGGAATCATTGAAAGAAATTTAGCCGGGCTGTGGCTATTTTCAAAGCCGGCACTGCATTCTTCTGTAAAAAAAGAGTCCTGCCTAAGTGAACATCCATGGTTCTTTATCTTCCCCATTCCCCCTCCAAATGGCGCTCTGTGTAACTGTGCAGGGACGATCTTAAAGGACCATTATAGTGCCAGGAAAAAGCTTTTTCCTGGCACTATAGTGCCCCGAGGGTTCCCCCACCCGTTGGGCTCTGGGGGGAAGGGGTTAAACTTACCTCTTTCTCCAGGGCCGGGCGGGGAGCTCTCCTCCGCTTCAGCTGAGTGCTCATGCGCGACAGAAGCTGCGCGCACATTCAGCCAGTCCATAGGAAAGCATTCACAATGCTTTCCTATGGACGCTGGCGTCTTCTCACTGTGAAAATCACAGTGAGAAGCACGCAAGCGCCTCTAGCGGGGCTATCAAGTGACAGCCACTGGAGGCTGGATTAACCCCAACATAAACATAGTTTCTCTGAAACTGCTAGGTTTATAGAAAAAAAAAAAAAAAAAAAAAAGGGTTAACCCTAGCTGGACCTGGTACCCAGACCACTTCATTAAGCTGAAGTGGTCTGGGTGCCTATAGTGGTCCTTTATGCTGCAGTGGGCAGCCGCCTCGCACTTGGCAGATTTAGAGTTTCAAGTAATTAGCGCCTGGTGCCTTGGAGGAGTCGCAGCTGCCTATGTCCCATAGAGCAGTCACAGGGATGGGAAATGAGTGCTCCACTGCAGAGGGAATGGATGGGACAGGGAAAAGCCAGGGAGAGTGATTAGGTTCCTTTAGGGACAGTTAGGTTTTGAGTCCTGCACCAGTTAGTAGCATGGACAGGGCAGGCTCCGCCACATGTCTGATAACTGCCTTCTACCAATTGGTTTTTAGTCTTATTTTTTACAGACAAAATGTGTTCTGCAGTAAATAGAAAGGCGTAGCCTGGAATTGTGGGAGGGGTTACCCGGCTATAAAAGCTCAGGCCCCGCCAAATCAGCACTGGAATCGCTGGGTTCATTCAGAACCTTTGAACTTCCGGTTCAAACTCACCGGGACATCGCTCCCACGTGGTCCGCTCCAGTCTAAGTGCTACCTCCTCCCTACTAACCCTGTTCGGTACAATGCTGGCGGTCTCCGTGCCCGGCATCAAGCGCTCCAGCCCGGCTTACTACCGGGGTTCCGGCGAACTCCCATCCTCCTCAGCCATACTCACGGCGGTTTCAGTACCCGGAAACATACTTACCTACTCCAGGGTCCCAGAACCGTGAGTTTCATCCACACCACTCTCAGCCAGACGCCTGGCGTCCATTCATACTTTACACACCTGTTCACAAATGATTTTCATTCATACTTACCTTACCGCTCCGGGCTCTGTTCGGTACCGCACTCCACACAGGCACATTCTCCACCCTGGCACTTACCCTCCAACGCTGGTCGGTAAACTGGCCACCCGGCTAAACTAGTGTCTGATCCTTTCTCCCTTTGCGCTTGTCAAAAAAAAATAAAAATTTAAAACGACAATACGCTTACTATACCATAAAATCTGTCACTCATGTTTTATTTTTCCCACATTACCTATGCCTATATACGTTACCTGTCACCTATACAGGTATTTTCTAAAACCTTACCCCGACTAACGGCAACACCTGAACCGCCTCAGACATATACCTGTCAAAGACACACTCCGTCTTTGTTCATACGGTAAGGAATAATTTACCCCATACAAGAGGTTGTCCTGTCCATTGTCATGTTCTTCATATGAGATTCATTACTTAACTCCTTACGCCCATCTCCTCAGGATTCATTCCTGGCTCATTCAAATCCATTTTTCAACACCTCCCCTGAAACTTGGAGCTATCATCGGACTCCCATTCCTAGCCTACTACAGGTATAAGATTTATAATTTACGCTTCACTTTGTCCTTAAGCCTGTATATATATCTAAGAGGATACAAAAGATAACTTTAGCTTTTCCTCAGATAACTACCCCAACTGGCGTTCAAGCTATCATCTAGACAGCACTATTATTTACAGCATTACCAGACTCCAAAATAAAATATCCTCCAAATTCTATGTTGAAAACTCGTACATCAAACAAATAGGTACGGTCGCACTACTATTACTCCCCCCGATTAAAAAAAACCTAAAAAAAAAAACAGGGCGGTCAACTGGTGATATTAGCGTACGGCCCCTAGCTAAAATATTGTAAATTAAAACGGTTCCTGGGAGGCCAACACCCATCCTCATCGGAGGTATACGCCCCTCGGCCCAACGCATAGATAGAGCCTCACAAAAACCACCCTTGGTTACCAGTTAGGGCCTCACCAGTCACAGCCAATTAATCCTTTTTCTTGTTACAGTCACCGAGAGGCCAACGTTCCCGCCACATCATTAAAGTGGTCCCCGTCCAACCGGCCCTCCGCATAGATAGAGCCTCTCTCGCCACTTGGCACTAGTAGGGCCTCACCTTCCTCATAGAATAGATAATGTTTCGCCTGTTGGCATAGCTAGCACCAGTTGACTCAGGCAACTTCGCTCATTATCAAACTCCGTCTCTTACCCTGTTTTCAATTTTAGTATGTCTCAATCCCATGACCAAGAAGAAGAGCTGGCCATACCTGAAACCCCAACCAGACCTGCAACCCTGGCGGGCCCAAGCACACCCACGAGAACCTAGAATCAGCCAGCCCATACGCTCTCAGGTCATGGACCATCCCCAAGCTCGCGGCTGAATTACATCGCATGGGGGTCCCGTTTCCAGCTACAGCCCGCAAAGCCGAACTATACAAACTTTTCATATCTAACACGTGTACTCCCCAACCAGGAGTAGTTCTGCATTCGGAAACCTAAACGAGATCAAGGGTCTGATGTCATCCCTCTTGGCCTCAATTACCACGATCAGCGCTAGGCTGGATAAGCTGGAAACCCCGCAGATTACGACAGTCACCTCACCCATACCAATTCTCACTTCGGCTCTCCTCCCCCACGGTAATGACACTCCCTTAAACCCAATACCAAGCACATGCACCCACATCATCACACCTGCACATTTTGTACCCCCGACAATACGCAAAGATATTCTGGAAGGCAAGGACATAAACCTTGTATCTCTGCTGATCGCATCACAAGATGTAGTGGAAAACAAAGCATATTGCTACGGTGATCTTTCGGTTGTGCTAAAAGCCAGAGATCCCAGGCTCAACCGAAAACTCACCATACCTGAATTCGTCCTTGTCTTCGGCCTCTACCGTGACGTAATCTGTTCCACATCCCCGCACCGTAGGGAGGAATTGGACTTTTACATGCACAAGTTGGTGGACCTAGGACATAAGTATGGGGGTTTTTCCTTCTATGATTATCATAAATCCTTTTCGGCCAAGGCAGCAGCATCCCTAACTCAATTTAACACTCATACCAACTGGAGTAACCTGGATACAGAACTTTTCTGCCGCCATTTCGCTGGCCAAAAACCTCCATCCTGTGCGCCTCCATCTCACACTCCAACTTGTGCCCAGTCGATCCTAACCTTCCTACCACTAGTCGTGCTACCTTCGGTTCCTCCACCTGCAGAACACAGAGGATTGAAGGACAAGTTGGGTAGACCCATAGTATACCTTGGGAAAGCACAGATCTGCAACAACTTCAATTCAGGAAGTTGTGGTTTTAGCTCATGCAGACTGCTGCACGTCTGCTCAGCTCAATTTGCTTCAGGGCACATGCAAAAACTATGTGCCCCAATCGTCTGTACCCAAAACAATGACTAACCGAAGTTAGCATTGACAACCTGGCTTTTTACCTCCAGCACACCCTTCCCTTCACTTAGTCAACTTCCTCATTCAAGGCTTCACTGAGGGTTTCCACACGGGCCTAGTCACACTTCCCACAGGTATTCTTGAATGTCCCAACTTACAGTCAGCTATCCTTGACCCAATCACCACACAGTCACTACTCAAGACCGAACTGACTAACGGGTTTATCGTGGGCCCCTTCGCTCACCCTCCGTTCACCAGCTGGCGTACCAACCCTATAGGTATTGCCACTGGGAAGTCCAACAATAAAAAAAGACTTATTTACGACTTGTCCGCTCCTCATTCTTTAGCTACCCCCAGCATCAATTCATTAATACCTTCAGAAGAGTTTTCCCTGCAATATACCTCAGTAGACAAGGCCATTCAATCCATTCTTAAGGCAGGGGTGGGAGCCTGGTTGGGGAAAACCGATATTTCCAACGCTTTTAAGCTCTTACCCATCCACCCATCCCTGTGGCATGTGCACGGCATCAAATGGGAAAACAATTACTACTTTGCCACCCGCCTTACCTTCGGAGCAAAAAAGTAGCCCGAAATTATTCGACATATTTGCTGACACACTATGCTGGCTTCTCCTCAATATCACTCACTGTCCCGCAGTTCTGCACTACCTGGATGACTTCCTTACGATAGAATCACCTCAATCCTCACCAGAAGACCTTGGCCCTATTTACAACTTTGTGGGTTCCACTGTCTCCAACAAAGACAATAAGCCCTACCACAAAACTTACGTTCTTGGGTATTCACCTAGACACCGTTACATTACAAGAAAAAAAGGTATAAACAATATACCAGCAAGTGGAGCGCTATATTGAATATATATATATATATATATATAAATAATGAGGGGGTATACTCACCCCTCCAACATAGTGATACAATGTGTCCAAAT